CTTCATTGGTGCCAGGTTCTTGAGAGCCAAACTGATTACAAGGAAATGCCAATATCTCCAAACCTTTGCAGTAGGCAAATAATGAATGAATGATATAAAAAATTCAGATGAAAAGGCCTTTACCATACTGGGTTCCTTCAACCCCCTCCTCCCCCAAATCAAAAATAAATAAATAAATAAATAAAATGAAAAACAATAATAAAGAAAAGAAAAGAAATAAAAACAATCCAACTCTTGGACTGTCATTTGTTAGCCTTAGGAAGTTATCTCAATTACTTATACTAAGTCAAAGTAGAGAACCGTAAACATAGGAAAATTAAAGAATAGAAACAGTGAAATTACATGAAAACTATAAACATGCCTGGAAACATGTGGAAAAGGATCACTATAAATGAGTACATGTATTGTCAAATTCAATAAACCAATACTTTAGGATACCTTGATCCTTGTGCTTCTGATATATTTCTGTCAACTCGGTGTAATTTGAATTAGCGAGGCCACTGCAGAAGACGGGATATAAAATTGATAGGTATTCTTTTTTTTTTAAAGTGTAGCAGGTTATTGATACTAATACACAATACAACTGATTCTCCAACTACGGAAATTAAAGGATTGCAGACATTGTCCAGCAAGATACTGATAACTTACAACATACTCCATATGGATTGTCTTAGATTTCATTACAAAGGGAACACATAAATACAACTCACTTCAGAAAATGATTAACGATGAGAAGGTGAAACATATACGAATCTATTGAGAAACATCTTATTTTTCCTGAAAATTGCTAGACGTGACTAATGAGGTTAGTTTGTTTTAAGCAAAATTCATATCCGAACCAATGCTTATACTTATACAAATTCCAACATGTGCATCCAAGACTTGATGCTATGCTCTGAAGCATGTATACAAACTCATATTTACACACATGAGAGGATACATTGATATTAGTCTTTACTATTGTAAGCAGTTTCTTGTCATGACATGCGAATATTTTATTATTTTATTCTACAACATAAAATATTCAAAACCTCAACCAAATACCAGAATCTTCATTTTATTAGTTGGAGCTTAACATTCTATGATTCTTCAAACAAAGTACTCAAAAGAAGCCACTATATACCACATTGATGCAACATTGACAATCAGTAGAACTTTTCCCTTGTAAATGCTGAGATCAACATCGTCCCCTTTAACATCCTGAGATCATAGAGTTTTCAAATTTTAATCACGTGGGCATATAGAAGCCGACATGGGGTTAGAATTTTATCATGTGCGCCTCAATATAATAAGAGCCCGTGTAACTTTAAACAGACATGCATATATCATAAATCGTGTAGTTGAAAGAACTAGATAGTACAATGAACAAGATTTTATCTTATTTTTCTTACTTTTTGCCAGGTACTATGCAATCATCTCTACCAAACATAACATAAAACTATTCCCGTTTATGTTTCTCTTGAAGCACTTGTTTGTTACTATGGTGAATTACATGCTTTCACCCTTTAAACAGCATCATTCATCCATAGAAAACAAGAATATGACCACCATCCAAGCAAAGTTCTATGCAAAGAAAATCAAGAAACGAATAAAACCATTCAACAAAAGATTGCCAAATATCAATCCAACGTCCTGAAGTTTCAAATGATAATATTTAACATGATAGTAGAGCATATAAAGATTCTAGACAGGCAAATGAAGTTTGTGAAATGTACAAGCACAAACAAATCTTCATAGAAGCAAATATCTATACCTACAAGATTGACAATTAAATTTGTGAAAATTTGAGAGCTTGTACTGTCAATCCCCTACCTAAACATCAAGAGCACACTTCAAAAAATCTGCACATTCGCATATGTAAAAACATACATGATCTTTATCTAAACGATTAACAATACAAAAGAAAGAAGAAAAGAAAAGAAAAATTAAGACCTTGACAGTGAATTCGTGCACTGATTGGGGTTGGCTTGCCATTACGTAATCTGATATCAAACCCACAAAAAACTCTTCGTTGAATTAATAAGAGAGGAAACCCAATAGAATATAGACCTCTTTCAATTGGCTTACAAAAATCGAAGAAATAAGCAGTAAAGTTGCTCGAATTTGATTTTACGGATGAATCGTGAATGTTAAAATGCTTTCTGAAGACGCTAAGTTACACGTGACGAATAGATGCTATGCCATGTCGGAGTACCATGTCCTATCGACGGTGCAGATCATTTCGTGGCGAATGCACTTACTTTTTTGATATTATTGCAATAATGTACCTAAACTAATGCAAATTAGCATCACTGTATTAGTTTAGACGGCACTAAATGTCGTTAAATGAAAGATTCGATCAAATGAATCACGTAATTTTACTTTTAATTGAATTTAACACATATATCATATAGATTTATGTTTCGGTAGACTGATACTAAATAACATTATTTTAATATATAAATGATTTTTGTCTTGTGCGTGCATGTTTTTTCATTTTTATCGAAAATAAGAATAAATGCTTAGTTTGTACATTATATTTTTTGTGCGGGCAATCATCCACCTGAATGAACCACGTACGTATGTATAGAGTATACATGATTTTTATATGCCCACCAAAATGATGCATATATATAGGGGTGTCCAAAAGTCCCGAACCGAACCGAACCGAATCGAGCGATTTTTCATAAATTAAATACCCGAACGGGTACTCGAATCGAGAACCGATGGGTTTGGGTCGGGTCTCGGGTCTAGACCAAGAACCGAAGAACCGAATAAGAACCGAAACTAAATAATTTTTTTATTTTTTATATTGAATTAATTAAATTATTTTATTTTGTTCTAAAC